AACCATTCGCTTTTCCCACCTCGCTCTTGAGGAGATGTAACAAAGATTTTATCCTACGCGAGAAGCATCGAAAGACTATCGACTGCTCAGGCACGAACTCGACTTGAAAATACTCAAACAAAATTGAATATGACGATCAAGCTCATTTCAGATTCATCGCGATCGATGCCGCCCCGTCTTTATCATCTGCAGCTCCGTTCATCCGTTGTCCATCCCGGACATTCGTGCTCATCGTTCAAGAAAGCACGGTCGTTTGAGCTAATCGTCGTAATCTTACACTCGCCCGCCACTTTACACGGTCCGACTATGAATGTTAGTATTAGTCTTTTGCTCTAAGCAAATCATTGTAATGTAATTTCTAACAAAAAAAGGTTTCCAACACTATCAGAAGTTGCAACTCTTACACAGTAAAAAATTTTTTCTTACTTTAACACAGGAAATGTATCATAAAGTACACACGGTATATGCATAGCACACCTTAACTAAGGACGTTCTGTTAACATCCACATCTCCAGAAACGTCCTGGAGACGTCCAGAAAATGATTCTATATTCTAAGGACATATCTGGATAAAATATGCTATGTGGAATATTAATAAGGTGAATGTGTTAATTTAACATAATAGTAGTCTTTACAGACATTTGTGTATTTTTTAACACATTCTCCCCATGTTGAAGTAACACAAAATATCAGTGGATTGTTTTTAACACAAATTTTTTTACTGTGCAAGATTTAAACGTTTTTAAGATTTTTAGCAGCGCGGGAATCGCCTTTTGTCAGAAATAACACAGAAAAGAAACAATTTTAAATGAAGAATAGATGTAAATGTAAAAAATTTTTTCTTACTTTAACACAGGAAATGTATCATAAAGTACACACGGTATATGCATAGCACACCTTAACTAAGGACGTTCTGTTAACATCCACATCTCCAGAAACGTCCTGGAGACGTCCAGAAAATGATTCTATATTCTAAGGACATATCTGGATAAAATATGCTATGTGGAATATTAATAAGGTGAATGTGTTAATTTAACATAATAGTAGTCTTTACAGACATTTGTGTATTTTTTAACACATTCTCCCCATGTTGAAGTAACACAAAATATCAGTGGATTGTTTTTAACACAAATTTTTTTACTGTGCAAGATTTAAACGTTTTTAAGATTTTTAGCAGCGCGGGAATCGCCTTTTGTCAGAAATAACACAGAAAAGAAACAATTTTAAATGAAGAATAGATGTAAATGTAAAAAATTTTTTCTTACTTTAACACAGGAAATGTATCATAAAGTACACACGGTATATGCATAGCACACCTTAACTAAGGACGTTCTGTTAACATCCACATCTCCAGAAACGTCCTAGAGACGTCCAGAAAATGATTCTATATTCTAAGGACATATCTGGATAAAATATGCTATGTGGAATAGTGGTATACATTCACATATAAAAGGAAGAATATTTAATATTCTTATAAGATCTGTAATCTCGAATTGTGTTCAAATGATATGAATGCATCAATATAAATTCAATCAAATCGAGAATAAAAATCTCAGATTGTATAATATTCTTGCTTACATATGAGAGTATTCATTCTTGATTTATAGGACTAATTATTTTTTGTGCACGTTACATTTTACCACTCCAAAATATTAAAAGCTTGTTATACATCTATTATGGATTCGGACTGTCGCATTCGTCCGATGCATCAAATAACGCCTTTATCACTCATCGGCCGTTGTACGGTCATAGTCACTTACCTCCATCGTCTTCGATGTCCACTCGCGCCGATATCAGCCGAATTACGCACTACGATCCTCGCTCCTTACTCACACGACACTCCCTGCATTCACCGGTTTCGCGACGCGCGAGAACGAGAGCAGAGCATTCGTCATTATCGTACAACGCTCCCCGCGATCGGCGGTTACGCGCCATCGCCATCGCCATCGACTGTGGATCTTTACGAAAAGTCGGGAAGACGCGATGCGACACTTGACGCTAATTCACTCGCACCTATATCCACCTAACGCCATGTTTATTCAGCCGCCCTCGCGATTCGCTAATCACCATCGCGCGGGCCTGTTAACCAATCGTGTGGCCGAATGTCTTTAGGGCCCACTCTCGAGAAATTGCAATGCATTACTGTTTCAAATTTGTCAAGAAAGAGGCAGTGTGTAACGGACGTCGCGATTATCGTTTGCACGACGACGAATGTCTCGGCCGATTCACATCGATTTATTCGTCCTGAGTGCATCGCGACGATTATCGGAAGGGCCGTGTAAAGTGGCGGTTGTCGAATCGTGACGATTAGTTCGGGAGATTAGCTTGTTATTAACCTCTGTTTTCGTGACCGACGAGTCACCCGAGACGCAACGAGGGAGGAGAAGGAAGAGCTGCTGCGTAATCACGACGAGATAAAGACGTTGATCCGGTGAGTCTGAAATGGATCGTTATATTTGCACGCATGTTCGACCGATCGATCAGCTCGTTCGTCGCGACAATTTGACGCCGTGTTACGTCGTACACACAGCGACGACGTTTCGGTGCTCTTGAGATACGGGCGCATCGGCCGGCGTCATCGCCGTTACGCTGAACATTGTAATGAATACGCGCAAAGAACGCGATCCTGAACAAAATTGCAATAAAGCGGCGTGGTGGGGTTCTATGAATAAATTCATTAAACGGGCGACTTCGTGTCGCGCGCTAAAAATAGATAGGGCGTCTAATTTCGAGAGATACGGACACAAAGTCGCGTCGCTACACGGGCCAGAGTCGCATGATCGAACAAAACGGTTGTCTCGGACCGATTCTCGCGCAGATTAGAGACGGTGGAAAGTCGAGGTCGCCCTTGACGTAAGCACCTACCACGTGTAGATACACAAATACACTGCCGCATTTTCACATCGTATTCCAAGAAATACGAAACGTCGTCGGATATTACGACGGGACGTGAAGGCGAATCAGTTCGTGCATTAGTTACAGTCGAAAGTTCAGAAAACCGGCGTATCCGGCACGCTTCGGCTTAATTGATCTCCAAATCCCGCTCTTACCCAAGTCGAAATTTTGATGCTACTTTGACGCTCTTAAAAATAGTTTGCGCCTATTTAGACAGCCTGATAAAAACCTACTTTCACGATACTTTGTTTAACTTCTCTCTTGAACCTTTTATTCAGATTGAATTTTAATACTACCTTCAACAACCTATCTTGACGCTAAAACAGCGAGGACATGAATTTAAGACATTATTAGGATCAAAATTGGGGTTATATTATTAGAATTGAGATTAAACCCATTATATTAGCTTCTACTACACGGTAACATTTTGTACTTGTGTTAAAATCCGTCCGTGTTAAGACTTTTGTGCTAAATTTTTAACATATCCGTTTGTTATCTCAATATTTATAGGTATTCATTTTATGTTAATTTTTGACATAATATTTGTATTACTTTTCAACGTATTCAACAAAAATTGGTGCGAACCGTTTGGGATATGTGAAATGTGTTAAATATTAATACGAAATCTTTTACTATGTATGTTATAAAATGAAGGGTTTAACGTAGGACCAAAATTTCGACTCGAGTATATCCGACGCGTACAATGGCGCCAATCGAAGCGATCGCGCGATCGTTGATTCAAAGGCACGGCGCGCCGCATGCAAAGTTAGCTCGCGATAAACAGCCAGTAACAAGTGGGTGTTATGATGTGGCTGGAGAATATTTTTATTCTTTCCGAGGCTAAAGTTGATACGCGATCTGTGCTACATTTATTCGCTCGGTATCTGTAACTTTTACCGAACTGAAACGAGCGAGCGAGCGATCTCAAGTCGTGCTCCGTAATTAAATATCAGCGTCTCCGTGCAATCGGATGCACCGTTGTGCAGGAAGCGGCGATATACGTGCCTGCAGGTGCATCGAGGAGTAAGACGCGATACGTTCTAAATGCTCGTACGAAATATACCTGCGCATAATAGAGTATCGCTCAGTCGACACGCTATTTGGGTCGATTCCTTTTTCCCAATATCGAAACAGCGATGCGTCAATTTGGTTGCAATATAAGCGGCTTCTATGTATTGACCTTGACATAGGCCGCCGCAGCTACGCAGTTGCAACGACAAAGTGCATCGCCGATGTTTACTAGCAATTGGCAAACGCCGGCGTAGTTAGGAATGGATAAACGGCAGTTTAATAGCACGAATGTTTTTGATGTTACACACAGTATTATACCGAGAATCGAAGCATCATTCATCATTAATTGATCTCGCGTCATTGTTAACATTCGAGGCGTCAATGGTGAGATAAAGTTTCGTTTGGCTACGCCGGCCAGTGAATAAAGAAACGTGTGCGATCTACTCTATATTTCACGCGCTCTCGCTCGATGACGAATCTTGGCGCCCGCAGAAATCGTTTTCGATGCTACTTTCGCGAATGACGGTGCATCGACGCGAAAGCGGTCTTTATAGATGCCATCGGCCTTGTCCTTGACATCGACCGCGACGTCCCGACGCTACGCAGCCGACCGACCCGTACATTACATCGGGATGTTCGATACGCGGAACAGAGCCGAGAGAGAGAGAGAGAGAGAGTGAAGGAGGAGAGGTTTACGTCGGAGAGGAGGGTATAGGGAGCCACATCGTTGGCTGAATGGAGGGGCGGATTTACACATTGCCGGCGAGACATTTCGTAAGATTACGTCAAAGTTCGGAAGCCTGTTTTCCGACAAATACGAAATGACGTTTGTTCGCGATTAAAGTCTAAATAACGCCTTCCTGCCGATCGTTTTACGCGGCGCCCGCGATTCGCAGCCATTTGTCCCGTTTATTTTATTACGGATCGAGCGGTTATTCTTACGCTCAGCGATATTATGCACAAAACAGAATTGCCTGAAATAAAACAAGGACAGCTTCGACTAATCTCGTATAACACGAATAAGATCGTGTTCCCCACGACTATTTATTAGCACAGCATATTTTACCACATTCGCGCACCGTGTTGGACGTCTACGTGTAAACAATATCTAGATGTAGATTTTGCGATCTATCTCTTTGCGAGTGATTTATGCATCTTCTGCGTGAAAATGTTTACCGCACGATGTCCCTGACAATCTAATAGAGAGAAGGAAAGATATGAAGAGCGAAAAGTCGGTGAAATCATTGCCAGATAGGATGGAATCCGGGGTAAGAGTTCAAGTAATAACATTATTTATTAATTATTACACTCCCCACGAGCGAACGATGCAAATATTGCATCGCGCGAATGTTGAGATAAAATAGCTATAAAGATGACTTTCTTTTTATCATATAGAAAATAAAGTCTACTTGGCCCTCTTCCTTTTCATAGTTTTGGGTTTTGCTTTAGGAGTCTTTCCGCCTCGATGTTTCTTTCCGCGGCCTTTAGTCTTTTCCTTCGCTTTCGCCGCACGTATATCCTTCTTCATTCTCGGATCGACTACTTTGTATCGACCTTTCACACCGGCAGGCCGAGCGGCGCGCTTCTGCGCCAAGTGTTTCTTCGCAACGATATACGTGATTTCCTTCTTCGGCTCCTTGGTAGCTTTCTTATACAACCTAAATTTATAGACGAAAGATCAAATTAGCTGAGAGAACGAAAACGGTATTTCGAGATTAAATTAAACATTCTCTGAAAACTGGCACTCACGCTGCAACTTGTCTGGCCTTCTCCCTGTCGCTAATATCCGTGCTGTCCATCAACGTCTCTACCTTCTTCTTGGCCTTCTCAAGTTTGCGCATCGCACGCTTCTTCTTCCTCGCCTTAGCTTCCATCACTTTCTTAATCGGTCTAACGTTTAAGTCCTCGACTCGCTTTTTATAATCATTTATTAATTCAACAGGTACAGGTGCCTCTTTCTTCATATGCTTCTCCTCATCCTTCGTAAACCAGTCGGGTAAATTTTCGTCGTTGAACGCGTATCTGTTCCAACCTGAATCGATCAAATCCCTTCGGGATTTTTTACTTTGAATCAGCAACGTGCCAAGTGCTAAATCTTCCGCGGTCAATTTCTTCTTCTTCTTCAACTTTTTATCTAATCAATTAAGAATGAGTGTTTAGGATGACAATTATTAAGCATTAATAGTTTTTAGTACGTTAATCGATAAATCCTCAGCTAAACGGAAGCTCACTTACCCTCTTCGCGAGATACTATTTCAAAACCGTCTTTTCCACCGGTCTTCTTCCTTTTCTTGTTAGTTTCCATCATTTCTTCCATGTCATAATCGGAATTTAACTCATCCTCGGAACTCTCATTGTCTTCGCGTTTTCGTTTCTTGTTCTCATCGTGATTTTCTATCTTCTTCTCTTCTCCGAGGACATGCCCACCTTTCTTTTTGTACAGCTCAATCATTCTATCCAACTCATAATCTTCATCGTCCTCATTCTCTAAATTTTTAAATGCATCTTTTTCGAACCACAGTTCTGCCTTATGAATCTTTTTTGCTTTCTTATCCCGGAAGTCTAGATCAGTCAGCAGTGGATTGCTATCGGGATCATTAAATTCTCGTTTCTTTTTTGGCAGCGTTTTTTTCTTCGTACTTTCGTCCTCCGAATCTCCCAGACCTATTTTGCAAAAGTAATTTTATAGTTTGTCTTATAAACTTAAAAAATAAACGGGAAATGAGTATGATAAAAACGTACGACGTAGAGAGAAATATTTTAGAGAGAGACAGCTGGAAGAGAATATCATACAAATATTAATATTTGAATAATAATACCTAGCCCAGATTTTTCACTATCCGCGTCATCATCCGATGTAGCATCGGTGTCATTATCCTCGCTGTCTTCCATTTTATAATATAAGCCTTTACTATCCAAGTGACCTGCATCCTTCTCGTAACGAATCGTCTTCGGCTTGATTTCTTCGTCGTCCGAATCTTCCTCGCTTTCCGCCACGACGTCGGGTGTTTGATCCGTAACTTGTTCCAATTGTTGATAGGTTTGTATCTGCTTTAAATTGAACATATCGTCTCCTTCCAATTTAGGTCCCTCGTCGCCTTTGTGAATCATTTTCAAATTGAGACGTTCGTTCAGCTTTTGTCTCTCTTTATGAACTTTTTTCTTCTTGCGTTTCAATTCTTTTACTTCCGTATCTCTGAGCTCAGCAATTTGTTTCTCGATTTCCGCGTCTTCCAAATCCTCCTGTTCTTCGAGACTAATAGCTGCAGGTGTGGCTGCAGTTTCATCTTCAAGCGTAGTCCCGTCCTCTTTTTTTTCCTCAGACTGTGCCTCTTTCAACGCTTTCCACCATTTGAGTAACATCTTCAAATCTTTTCGACCAAGTACTTTAATATCTTTGCAAGATTCTCTAATTTCTCTTGTCGTTTTCTCATGTTTATCAATAGCTTCGTCATCTATCACTATTTCGGAAGCAGTTTGCAAAGCCTCCACTGCATCTTCACAAGCAATGAACTCTTTAGCAGATAACTTATGATATAATGTATAGTCATTCTCAGGATATCCTTCTGCCCTAGGTTTCTTCTGTCTTTCTGGGTGGAAAATATTTATCTTGTTTGCATTTTTTATTTCTAACTCAGAAAATACATACTTTGGATCGAGAAACTTGGGATCCAATTTATCAGGAGCGATATAGTATTGACAAACAACAAAAATTTCCGCGGACTCGTTACGTGAAGCTTGAGGTTTAGTAGCATGCACCTATAATCAAAATTATGATAGTAACAAATCACAGTTAACTGTTAGAATAACAGACAATAATTATCAGACATTCCATAAATGCATATATGTAACTCCACAATTAAATAAAAATAACTTGTTATCCAAAAGTATTTAATCCAAAAGTATATTCACTATATGAATTTACAATATTTTATCATCTCACAACCAAATTTTTAATTGTATTTTTATAAAGATATAGATCTTGAAATTCTGTTCATTAATTTATATGCAATTATTTATGGAGTGACTGATAAATATCTTAAAATTATATTATTACCTTCTTGAATAATTGTTTTAACACCCAAAGTAGTGGGTGATAATCTTTAGATCGAAATATTTTTGTCACAAACCAACCACCTGCTCTTAGGAACTGAGAAGCGATTTTAATAGCAGCTAATGTTAAAATAGCTTGTTGATAGGCATCATGAAGCCAATTTTTTCCCACATTTGGGGCTCCATCATTTAAAACAACATCAGCTTTCCATGTTTTCAATTCTCGTTTAATAGCCACCTTACATTTATCTGTTGTAATATCCTCTGTAACACTGATACATCCTGGAATAGGCTTTATAGGAAACAGATCTACTCCTACAACTATAGATGATACTGGCATATTTTGTCTGGCAACTTGCATCCAGCCACCAGGCGCTGCACATAGATCGATGCATACTCTAGATTTTTGAAGAAATTCATATTTCCGATTTAACTGAATTAACTTGAAAGCAGCACGTGACCTATAACCTAAACAAGAAAAATGTTGCCTTAATCAACTATTTTAATGCAACCCCGATATAGTGTTGGGTTTAAATATTATATGTAAAACTGACTGAATCTCCTATATGATAATTTTATTGAGTGATCAGCAGAGTGCAACAATGATTAATATTATTTACCTGTTTCCTTGGCTAAATGATAATACTTGTCTCTCCTCTGCTTTCCAGTTTTTGTTTTCTTCCCCATTTTAATTGAAAGGTAACATCAGTTTTATAATAAACGTATACACGTGTGTGTCAACCACGTGTTGTCTTTTCTTCTTCGTGTGTGCACTTTATTTTAAAAAGGTTTGAACACTTTTCGCAATGCAGTTTGAAACACAACCGATGGTTCAATAAGAGAACCTTTTATTAATTCCCAGAAATTCTTTTGAATATAAGATCGGACTGTAAATACCGGTCTTTATAATCCTTTCCGTTCAGCGAAATAGGTTAGCATCATAAGTCTCAGAGTTTCTGCTACATGTCGCCACCGTCTTTGGTGCAATAGTAGTACGATTCAGTGACAAATCAGGCAGTCGGCTTCTTTTCAATTTGCGTATAAATCCAATAGCAGGTTAAGAGTGCCTGCAATACGTGTATTAAGCCTTAAGCTTAAGAAATTGGCCAATCACAATCGATTATTCTTCTTACGATCAACGAATAATCGACAATAATTGGTCAATTTCTGCTCATGTTCTGTGTGGCACAAAACCATATATTTGGTCTGTTCTTTGTAGCTGCACTGTTGAGCTAGTGCCATAAGTTGAAGTGAGACAAGTACATGTTTTCTCATTTTAATTTATTACATTAGTTCAGCAGTGCAGCTATAAAGAACAGACCAATTGCCAATCTCTACTTTTAACATAACACAGTGTAGGTGAACATAGGTGAAGACTGTGTAGCAATTCGGTGCCAATTACCGAATTGCGTCGTAACAGTTATTCAATAACAGATTCCAATTTTCATCAAATTACATTGTCTCCTCGATATACACGTGACAAAGGGGAAAGAAAATGTGGAAAATCGTAACTCGTGGCATTAGAGAGACGTTCGAGCGACGTGCTTGTCGAACGAACGTTTATTCACAATCATCGCAGGATAATGCAAAAAACGAAGTTAAAACAAACTTGACATGTCAAAAAAAATTCCTTGCGCCGGCTTGCTTTAATTGGAATAAGGGTTTTTGTGGATCTGCTAAGAGTGCCGGTGCTGAAGATAAAGAGCATGATTATAAATGGGATACCAAGCACAGTTGGCCAGAAGCTATTGGCTGGGTAAATATCTTTTTAAGGGCCGATTGTTCCAAGTAAGCCAATTGTTCCAAGTAAGCCAATTGTTTTTGGTAAGATTTACCCGACATGGACAAACTAATCAATAACAGTCATTGGTGTTTACTGAAAGTTATGGCTCCACTGGAACAACAACAAGAAATTTGTTATTACTTGTTGTCGCTGAATGTTTTACGAATTATCCAACATGTGTAAACTTGTAGAAATATTTCTTATAGCATAGACATCCTAAAAACATCCTGAGAACCTTTCTGTGTCCTAAGGACGTCCTTGAATAAAGTGTGCTATATGGGATCTTGTCTGCATTGAAGCGACATAATCAGAAACATTTGGATTTTGCTTCTACTTCCTTAGTCTTTTCATTTGTTTCTAGTAATTATTTGTTCATACTCAAGAAACAAAGCAGTTTATTATTGCAAACATAATGTGTGGTGCGAGTAATTGGTAAATTAAATTTTTTATTTTGCTTTTACTTTCCGCCATACCTGCTTCAACAGCCTTGGAAATTTCTCTCCAATCATCTTTTTTCGTGTTTCTGCATTTATATTTTTTATCGAAAAAGGCCCATAAACACTCATATTTCCTATATTCCTCAATTAACTTAATGATTATATTATTATCCCATTTTACGTTCTTATTGTTAGACTTTTTTTTTATTAGAGACATATTTGGCAGCTACATTGGGTTATTGATAACTGAAAGTCCATACTGAAGGAACTTCTGTTCTTGTTGCGACCTGTTGACACTTGTTTGTTATTTTCCTTTGATATTTCTGTTTCAATTGGAAACACGCGACAAGCAGCATTTTTGTCATTGGCAACAGAAATATTAAGAAATGTGAAGAAACTTTCGACAAGTTTCTACAAGTCGATCGATAACTTTTTCAAGAAACATAAAATATCAACAAAAAGTTTCCCGTTGTTGCTCCAGTGGGGACATAGCTTAATAGATACTTGTCGAATAAATTTTACCAAGAAATTGGAACAATCAGCCCTAAATGCTGTAATTTTCATTGTAACATTTATGACTTGAAACATAATGTTATATATCTAAGCAGTGCTAAAAATTCTTTACTAAGTCGCTAATAGAAGTTATTTTCCAATAGACCAGTGTGTTGGCAGCTGGATGGGCTGTATGCCAGTCGCTTTGCCTTCAGAAAAGAATCTTTGATACAGATAGTAATGACAGAAAAAGAAAACTATTTGATTATACTGGAGTAAACCTCTTACTTGATCAGATAAAAAGTTTACAGCTAAAGTTGAAGATTGCAAATGTCTTACCAGTTACCAACTGTGTAAGTAATGGTAATAACAAAAATTTACAAGATTCGGACTCGCAATGGCACGCTGAAAAGCCATTCGGTCCTATTACCATGGAAGAGGTGAGGATGTTGTTTTGCAGAGATTACACTATATAATAATAAGCTGGAAATAGATAAACAAAATTTGAATTAGGATGAAAATTGATGATATATTTATTTCGCAATAAATTTATCACTATTCTTTTTCTATGCAAGGAGATAAAAGAATTAATATTATCAAGCGCTGTTTTATTTCCTATGCAGTAACTTGTAAAAAAATATAAATGTTTTGTTGGAAATGTTTTCCATCTGTAATAAAAATACACATGATTGTATCTTCAATGGAATAAATCAATATACGTATGTAAATCCAACAACTTCTATGAAATTAATTGTTTTTACCAAAAAATTAAAATTTATAACATATTTGACAAAGTTCACTGTAAAAGCATTCCTAAAAATATTACTGTAAAAGTATTCCTAAAAATATAGTACATTAAACAGGAACTAATATATCAATTCTCTTTGCAAATTTCTGTTTAGAATAAAATCACTCCTCCTTTATGTACATCGGGATAATTATAAAATCCTACATAGATCCCTATAGATTTTCTATATCCCCAGGCATTTCAAGAAGCAGCCAATGAATTTAAAAACACTCATCAAATAGTCATAGGAGAATTTGAACTCCGTTACGGTATAAAAGCTTTGGAAGAGAAACGTTATAAGGATGCTTGGACGCATTTTTCAAAAGGTGCCAAACTATTCTCTCCCGCCAGCATGTTCAATTTAGCTCTATGTTATGAATTAGGCATTGGAACATTAGCGGATCCAGAGAAGGTACGCTTTATATTTTGTAGTTGAAAGCGTCAGAACTGGTTATAAATTATTCGATTTAAATACAAAGAATATCTTGACATATACATAAATCGAAAGAAAAGACGAGAGATAGAAAATACATCGGTCATTACACCTACATTGAATTGCAAGGAAAACACAAATTTATAAACAAACATAAGATATGCGTATTTCCTTAAGACGTGCGTAATGTAATTTTTCCTCAGGCTGCAAAATATTACAACGATGCCGCGGCTTATGATCATGCCGACGCATTATATAATTTGGGAATTTACTACGCTCAAGGAAAAGGCGGCTTACCGATCGATATCAGTACCGCGCGTACTTATTTCACCAGGGCGGCAAAGTTGGGTCAGGTGCAAGCGCAACGCGCACTTGAGCTAGAAAAGGCTGATATTCAATGGAAGAAAAGTAACAGCACCCCCACTATACCGAAAATTCTCCTGAATAGTACAAATTTAGAGACTAATGAGACGAACGATATACTCGAAAAATTAATCAATACGATGACGAACTTTATTGCGGAATCCACGCGTGATGCATCGGAATATGATGAAGAGATGATTCAAGATTCCGCTCGCGTACTTATAGATCTTCTCATTTTAAAAGAACCTAATCAAGCAACTATTGTGACAGCTCCTGACAACTGTGTGCCATGTTAAATATATTGAACCTCGTCCCCCCGATAATTAAAAGTATTTTTTATTTTATACATACATATATATGTATATGTATGTATGTATATATGTATGTATGTATGTATGTACGTATGTATGTATGTATGTATGTATGTATGTATAATTCTCGCAGTACTAAGTTGCGCTATGTAGATATGTAGACAGTGCGTCTAGTTTTTACGTAGTACTATTTTTTGCTAGTACTATTTTATATAGTTGTTCCATGAAAATGTATCGTTATCGTGTGCACAATATTTTTACAAGAATTTATACAATACATCTAACAGCGATATCGATGAAACTTATTGCTCAATTTATGATGAGCGCATTGTAAATTAAAATGGCGCTTTAAATTGAATCCTGCACTCGTTTTCATACAATTTTTTTGCTGTGTTATAAAGCGAGTATGCTTATTTCATTAAGGTGTGATGCATCTTCATTTATATGTTTATTTCATAAAATATTTAATTTTCATTACATTACATTATTTTATGAATCGATATCAAATGTGTCATTTAGATAAAATAAGCAGAGATATATGTATTTTCTCTTGTATATAATGTCACACGACTAAAAGTTTAGTCGAAACTTTGACTGTGATACGCGATTGAAGGTATTACACATCACCACATGTGTATGTCCGAGAAAACGCGTGATTACAATGTTATTTTATTTAAGAAATACGAGCAGTTTTGAATACTTTCGCGAAATTTCAGATCTTCATTATATTATATAATAAATCATTATATGTTTTCAATGAATATATAAATCGTCAGTTTTCATTAATATTTTATTTTGTTAACTGAAGGTTTTATCAATTGGTACGTATACCTCATTTATAATGCATATTCGTAGTTTATATGATATTATGATATAAAAAAAATATAAATTTTATTTATAATTTAACAGTTTTTTCTAACAACAATATCCTTTATCGAAGGCAATTTATCATATTGTAATAACGCTTAAACTCATATCAGACTAAAGATTAAGATCGAGATTGGATTCAAATGTGGCCGGTCAGAGGAAAGTCCACTAAACTTGAATTAGTGAGCTTGCTCTGATTGGCCAATCCAATCTCAATCCTAATCCGTCATCTGATACGGACTGTAGAAAGTTAACGAATGGCTTTTTTTCTAAATTCTTACTTTATATCCAACTTTTCAATTTTATACAATTGAAAAAATTGCTCAGGTTTTACAAGTCGGGACTCGTATAGAGCGTGTGATTTTGAAAAATCAAGAGAAATTATTTTGAAAATGTCTGGAAGAAGAAAAGTTGCAAATCAAATTTCACCAATGCGCATCGCGTCGTGACACGGTCTTTTTAATGAACTCGCTGTGATTCGCATACAAATTAATCCGACAGTTTATATCCATCCATCTGACATTACGCGCGTCGTCTCCGGCCTTCAACGCGAGTTTCCCGACGACACTACTGTCCTCGTCGTGAAAATTGATAGCTATCGTTTCCATCCAAGCATTATCCGTGTTTCGCGGATCGTCCACGTATCCCTTGTAAATCTCGTCGCCTTTTGCAAAGAAGTCCGCTATAGAATCGCGCAGAATCTTTCTCTCAGCTTCGTCTTTCTCCAGGAAATTCAGCGTTTCCTCCATGAATTCCCTCATCAATGTGGCAGAAACTGCCTCACCCGGGTCGACCATACCTCCCGGAATGGCCCACTCGCCGGAATCCCGTCTTTGTATCGCAACGAACTGCAATATCGGTTTCCTTGTGTATCCATCTATCTCCACGGTTCCGGTATTATTGCGTTTCCATCGTGTAACGATCGGGTCGGCGGCGTGATTCGGTCCCCAACGACCTAGAAGTCCGCGTCCGACGATGCCGGTTCGTCCTACGGGATTCAATGGATAGCCATTCGCGTTGATAACGTAGTCACCCGTAAAACTCTTTCGATTCACTTTACCTGTCAACAAACGTGTTTCAAATGTCGCGCACGCTAATATTTTTCTTCGCACATGCGTCAAATGTTCCGCTCTGAGTTGCGATCGATTCGTTAACCTCGATCTATGTCTGAACCTTTTCAGGCTTCTATTATTTTTACGCTAGCTTCTGACTGATTGAACGAAGCGGAAGAATAAAGAAATAATTACCGTCCACTGCGTTCCACTTTGGTTCAAATGTGGGTTTTTCGATTTCTGGATCGGCCCAAGGTTTGTCACGAAGAACAGCAGCGGTGTATGCGACCGGCTTGTATTCAGGATACTCGACCGTCCATGGAACTTTTTCTTCGATTACCTCGAATCTTTTCATGCCACTAGACGGATACAAGCCCTGTCTACACTTTTGATGAAGCATTCTCACGTATCTAACACTCATTTAATGATGTTTCTCAGGAACACATCGCCGACGAGTGCACGGTAATCGTGATACTTGTTTACTTCCAGCGACGTACTTGACGATTAGCAAGCCCCGCGTCACGCTGCGCCTTTTTTATCGAACAGAGTTAAAAATAGGAAAGAATTCACGTCTTTTTCGAGATTTTATTTTATGAATCTGTTAAAGATTTTTACTACACGATAGATGCATCGTCTGATTGAACGCAAATAAACGGGATGCAAGGAAATAGAGCGAGATGTTCTCAGATAGTGATTTAAATTTATATCTTATATTATCTTTGATGCTGGTATGTGTGTATATTGTAGATTTCGTTAGAATTCTCGAGTTCTAGTATTGTCAATAATAATAATCTTACGTTGCATACATTTCATAGGAAGATCTTTTAAACGCGCGTAAGCGCGTTTTGAATATCGTAGACGATAAAGTGATGTACTGGCAATGTGAGATTTTGTTCAATCCATGCAAGACGAGGCGCATATATTTATTTAAATATATTTTATCGAGATGGTACAAGAGAGAGGACATCTCGGTCTTTTTAACATTTACTACATAAAGTAAGCGCTCTTCGGGATATACGTGAACTTTATAAAATTCTAAAAAGTCTTACAATCCATTTAATCCTTGGCATTTGTATGGCATGGTATCAAAGTATGAATTACACGTATCGTAATAGCGATAAGATTATATGCTATATTTACAAAACGTTGGCTCTTTCGTTCCGCTACTTGAACGTACAAAGATTTTTGCAAAACTTGGTTTCGTTACAATCCGTTCGATCGTGTAAAACTTTTGACAAATCTTGCATACATTTACGCTGGAAGACTAGATTAGAAGTATCTATAAAATTTAACAAACCTTAATAACACCTATCTATACTTGTAGATCGGTAGAGGTACGTCCATAATTGATTTGGATATTAATGAATAATACTTGCGTATGATGTACTATTAATGCCCACTCTTTCAAATAGTTCGTATAGTTTAATACTCGAAATGACGTTAAGAGGCCGTCTTGATTCGGATTGCGCCTTGGACGTATTAAAGATATAATATATACCTCTCTTAAATAAAGTTTAAAATTGTTCTCAAAACCCCCCAATTGACATTTTGCATTATTTTTCTTTATTTATTATTTTCCACTTTTCTTTTTTTAAATATATGCTCTATACGACTTTCAATTTATAAAACATCTTTAATTTTCAGTCGAAATATAAAAATAAAATTAAACGAAATCTAATAATATTGAAGAAACATTTGTTAAACGCCAAACGTTATTTTAACTTATACACAAATATTGAGATACTACATGATTTTTAAAATATCTCGCATTTTTCCTCTTTCTCTCTTTATCAGAATTTATCGTATTTTTAGGAAGTACAGAGATAAAACGTTTCCTGTGAAATCAATCATATCACGATTTCTAAGATAAAAATTTAATTTCGCTAAATGAATCGTATCTCTTAATTTATTTCTATTTTAAATAGTCTTCTCGCATATAGTATTTTTGAGAAAATGATTCCGCGTTAAGACGAAAAATATTGATCAGGCGAGATAATTTCAACTCATAAATGAGCAAATGAAAATGTACAAGATGATTATGTTTAAATTTTTTAATCTGTAACATTTGATACGCGAATCTATAATCTATAACATTCGATACGTACTGAAGTATATTTCTCCGTTATATAAACAGCTGACGTTTTATATTTTTAAACTGCCCTCAACTGCCTCGTTCGTTATAGCAGCCCGATCCTCACGTCCCTTATTTCTACTTTTTCGATACAGTTAATATACACTTAGTTTCAGTACGATTTGAACACTTTTTTTTCTCAATACACTTTGGAACATGGCTAGTGATCCAATGAGAGGACTGGTTTTTGATTAATTCCCAGAACTTGACTTCTCTTTTTTGTGGAAAAAAAGGGTACAAACCGTTGTACAAACGAGTGTACTCGTGTCTCTCATAGGAGTCGATATCGTATCTGGACAATTTTAATATCAGATGAACATTACCTGATACGCGACAGTTTTCCATTACTATTATTAGATCTATTAAAACGTCCGTTATTGACCAGCAAAAAAGTTAACCCTTTGTTGGTTTATTTCGTGCTATACCCGACAATACATATTATGTCAAAGCGCACTACGACCGCGAAGAGTTTAAAATTCATAAAGAAAATCGCCATTTCCGATCTATGTCAGATGCTTTACACACCTGCTTAGGGCTCTTGTTTTTTGGTCGAAAATTGCCAACGTTTTTACATGATAATACCTTGCAAAAAAATTTTAAAGATCGGAAATCACGCTTACTTTCTCATCTTTCGTTAAATCCGCACCGGGAGACGTATCGAGGGAATACGCGTATCGCGAATACGTTGTTTCACTTAACGTCCTTTATCAAATGCCATGATCGAATTCGTGGTACCCTTCCGCTCCGGTGAACACAACGTCGACCCAAACTCGCATAGCTTCCGGGCTGGGTGCCATGAGATGATAGAGTCTGGAGGAAGTCTTGACGATGAAAGTGAGGGAAGGTTGCGGCGATCTGACGGTATTCATGTGGTCCACGTAGACTTCCTCGATTGACTGTATTGTGTTAATGTCGATTAGTAAATGTTAGCATTAGATTTTTAAATAATTGCGGAGCTTTCGAAGCTTACCTGGAAATAGATTACGCCGCGAGCTTTTCTTGACGTACTGTCACTATAGTAAGACAGCGTCTTCCGCTTGCGATCGAAGACGAACCACCGCTTGTTCCAATGATGAAACTTTTTGCTCATCTTCGACAAATAACCACTGCAACTCGTGGTGTCGATCGTAACATCATAGATTAGGGGTAACTGATGTCCGGCGGTTTCTATGTGATGCCTTAGATCCAAGGATTCTGACTTGATAGGCAGATATCTCGTGAGTGGCCTCTGTAGAATTCGTCACTCGTTAAACGCTGATTCATACATGTTAAAGTGATACAAGCCTAATTACCAAGTTATCACGTTTCTTTTACATAAAGTTGAACAAAATTCTATTAAAATTAGAATTTCCAATTTATTTCAATTCGATCAACAATTTTTTTCTTATATAATTTTTTCTTATATAAAAGTTAAAATTCTAACATAAGAAAGGAAACTAATTGAGAAGAAGGTGGTATTATGACGCTCATTAATATTTTGTACAATAACTTTGTTAATCAATATTTTAAGTTGAAAACTTTACGATTACATTCGTCAAAGTGTCCAATCGATTCTAGACTCAAAATTTAAATACTGAAATTTATGATTTTGGTCGTTATTTATAAAAATGTAACGATACTATATAATAGGTCGAAGAGAAACGGAAGTATCTACAAGGGTCATAATATTACCTTCTCCTTTATAGATTAGGTATTATCTTTTTGTCCCCTCGTAAAAATATTTGCTCGGATCACCCTCTTAGGTCTTTCCTTTTCTCGTCTATTGCTCAATCGTGTCGTTTTCCTATCTTATGTGAGACTTCGCGCCGGGTTACCTGAAGTTTTGCCTTTTCGCGATGCTTGATAGGCTGCAGCGGTCCAAGGGTATCCATTTCGCTAGATGTTTGAGAAAGCGGACGACTTCCGTTTCCGTCGATGATGCCGCCTCCGCCGCCGCCGCCGCCGCCACCACCTTCTCCGCCACCGCCACCACCGCTATTGTCGCTAAGCCTCTCACCTTCCATCGATGTTCTTCTATCGTCTCTCATCTGAAAATAGCAAAGTCTCATTAGTGTGTTTTTTTTATAAGTCTCATTTTAATAATTTAGGAAAGAAGAACGTGTATTGTCGCGAAGAGCAATTTTACCGAAGAAGATGAAGGTATTTCGAACTTACTTTTATCGATAAAAGTATCCTGTGAAATATGGCTTCTTAGCCAAATTAGATGGTTCCTAAGCCACTTTTAAAGGCACTTTTATCGATAAAAATGAATATGGAGCGAAGTGTTCCTCCAAACTCCGTCTATATAACGGCGTCGAGGGCATTTTATCCTTTACCGATATCGCAAAATCTGCCGATAATTTCGCTTGCATTAATGATAAGCGCGCACTGATGGCTCACGTACGCATCTCCTTCTGATATATCGTTTCTTCGTTCTGCCTCTCACGTAGCTCATCCACATAAGTGACATCGCGGAGGGATACGCTTGAAAAGTTAACGTAACGTTATACGGGAAACGATACGTCGTTTCAGACTGGTACAGATCCGAACAGGTGACGGACGAGGACTGATGTCGACGGCGTGCTCCTCGGCGAATATAATTCCCGCCGTAAAACGCGACTCCCACCCACTTGCTCGACGGATGCTGCGCGCTTTTCGCGCACCGAATTCGCCCCCGCGCACAGCGAGTTATGACTATTCATTCATCGTACACGCGCCGTGCGAAATGTGTCATAAATGTAAACATAAAACCGAATCACTATAAAATCTACCCCGTACACGTGTGAGCGACGTGACGACTATGCGATCGTATGTTACGCGTTGCAGCTTTGGACGTAAACGTAACGCATAAAAAAAAAATATATATATATATATATTTGTATACCGAATAGTGACATTAAGGTACGATAGGGAGATAAAACATGAGGCAGGAAAAGTAGGATCAATTTTGCCGCGTTTTAAAACCGCTGTTATTGGCAATAGTGGTCGTCGAGTGGTCCGGACGAGATGAGAAATTCCGACAGCTCGGCAAATAACGTCGTGTGAGTCATCGCAAATACTAATTTACCGTCGACATTTCACTTCGGCTCGACTAACCAGCCGAGTAAAGTGGTAGGAATGTTAGGAGAATATCTCTCCCTGAGAGAAATTAAGGCGCTCGCGCGTATTAAACGCGCATAATCCGTACGTATCTCGGGTGCCGCATTCTCCCGCTATTGTGAAAAATTCGAGCGATCGGTCGAGCAAACGTTTGAAAAACAGAGCGGTAAGTCTATTTCACGTGTATAAATATCTAAGGGGAAATATAGGTCAGTTACAAAAGAGACCCCGCGTAAATCCAACGTCGCTGCTGCTCCTGTCGTTATAAATTATCGTCGCAGGCTTAATGAAGATTTTACAAAAGCTCATTTATCGGCAAGTATAGGCCGCCCTCTGAATACCGTCCAAACTGTGGCGGGGGTCGCACCGGGAAAACACGTGCGCAATGACGAAAACCCTTGCTCTAGAATGCAAACGGATGTAACTTGCGAAATGCCGTTGTCGAAAAGCGTGCGTCTTCTTGGACGAGCGGCCGTCGACAGCGGGCCAAGGCGAGGCGCGAACTTCCGGCCGTGAGAAAACGCGTTGTTTTCGGTGTAGTGCACTCTAACCAAACATATACTCCGAGACACGACCTCTTTCAAGTGCCAAAATAGTTCTTCCATTGACGAAGAAACGAACGCGATACCAGAGAGATACAAAAAGAGATCCGTTCACGCGTAAATCGTATTTGTTTGGAGCGGAGACAACGAGCGATAAATTTATTTCTAAATGGAAAATTTATGTGGCGTTTCGCTAAAATTGCTAAACGTTCGCCAACCGTCTGAGATGCGTCAGATTTTATTTCATTCGATTCGGGATTCCCGTGAAACGCTCCATTTACACGTAAGTGCTCGAAAATGTAACGTAGTTATTCTTCGCGTCTGGCTATCAGCGGAGTGAGGCTTTTCCAGAATTGTAAGGAATAAATAGATGATATTTTTTTAGAAATCGTCACACGTAATGTCGCCAATCGTGAAACGAACGAATCAGAGAAAGATGTATAAATGAAGAAAAAAATAGAGAGATGGAAGAGAAAACGGACTGCTCATTTATATTCCACGGTTTGTCGTATAATTTTCGAAAAACATACCCGATAATCGTAGACTCCGTGTAAATCGTTGTGGTAAATGTCACATTTTCGGCGAAATATACACGTCGAAAAAGTCCGTCTACTCCGATCGTCCGCTCGTGATCGATAACGTTGTATCGCGTAATATTCGCGCGATACAGAAATCTGCGATATTCAAGCGCGTTCGAGAGAAAGGGAAGTACCGTTTGCGCGAACGCTGAAAAATTTAAGAGACAACGCGGCGGTCGTCGAAAAACATTTCTTTGAACAGGTGTGCGATAAAATCTACACGGGCAGAAATAGATTGGAAAATAATAGACTCTCGTTTACTGCGCTCGCAAATCGTAACGCATACCGTAGCGTACGTAAATGCAGGACCATTATTTTCAATAATATTTGCATAAACGATAAATAAATATGTCTTTTAGAAATTAAAATTTGGTACTATCATGCACAATATATAAATTGGCATGTGGCTTTCGGAACCGAGTCTCGCGCGTTTTGCGTTTTTCTCTTACAAATATTTTCGTGATATTCCACAGAGAACCAGGACGTCAACTTAAATTTATGTGATATGTTAATGTACTTACGTTATCATTTTGAAGCAAACTGTAAGAATTATTCGATGGTCCTGGACTGGGCGAAGTCAGTTCCGAAAGCTTGCTGGGGGACAATTTTTCACTGTTTCCGCCCTCCGCACCGTCGCTACTTCCGCTACCGCTGAAAATATACAAGTAAATTAAGAACACTAATTGCAACATATTATCACATACAAAATCTCTCCCGAGGCATATAATCAAATGAAAAACAAAAGGCAAATAAGAGCCAAACGTTACATATATTACAGATATAATTAATATACAATGAACATTTCGTTCCCTATCGTTTGGTTCCTTTTCAATGTTAAATAATAATTTAAAAGTTAAAAAAATATGCTGTCTTAGCGCAAATGAAAGGAATAAGAACATGGTGCCGATGCCAAATTCGTAAAAGTGTAAATCAAAATTAGATGCTCATAACGTCAAAGAGTAAAACAAACATCCACTCTCTGTCAGTAAAATGTATGTTATTTTTAAAATTAGAAAAGGAAAAGGAGAAGATAAAAAAGGCTTATAGGAGCCAAAAAGAATAAAATGAAGTAGGAATGTAAATTAGCTTACCAGGTAGACATAATTACTTCAATCTGGCATCAATACCAAGCAATGCGACATTTATATGTAGCATTATAGACTCAATATAAACAGAAGTCAATATATATATAATATCGAAACTTATCATCAACATACAAGTAAATGTCATGAAGAATACATATTGAGGCGATAATAAGATGCATAAAAAACATTACGAAAGGGAGATAAGTTTTGCCTAATCGAACAATAGATATTTCCCCGAAAAAATTTGATTTGCGATACCAATAAATGTCAATGAAGCCGCCGATAATTTTCAAATTAAGATTGAGAAAATTAAGAATATCATACAAACAAATCCCAGTTACATCGCACATAAACACTATTGATCAGCCACGATAAGATTTCCAGTAAAATTGATCAAGGAAACTTGCAATCAAATTATTGCAAATTGTTAACTGTAAGTCCATCAGACGAAGATACATCTCGTCCCCATCGCTCCTCGACTTACGTAATTACTATGACGCGGCTTAAACCACACATTACCGAAAAAATTAACTTGGAAACTGCATCTCCCGCAATCGCGTATCGAGTACGAGAGTGCAATTGTGAGGTAGCGAGTACTGTTATTAATCGAAACGCGAACGTGGAATCTCGCGAATTGCTCTCGGCGTCCTCGGCATCCTCGGTGGATGAAATTCGCGGCGGTGCACTTTGAAAAGCACGGTCCTAGCTTCTGACCATCGCGCGACTGAGGAGAGAACGACGACGGGGGCCTATGGTCGACTGTAGCGAAAGGCAGGTATTATTAAAACCTAACAAGTACAAAGTGACTCGGTAGGTAGACCGGTTCGGCGATACCACCGGCATAGCATTTAATTCTTCTACAATGTTAAATGCGCCGCGAACGATACCCGAACATTCCGATCTCTCGTTGCCATGCCAACCTCGACCTTGCTGTTAGAAACGCTCCCCCGTTTCCGATATAATCGAGCTTTGATAGCACGCCGCTAGAATATTTATCTTTGCACCTTCTCGACCAGTGGCGGCTCTACGAACGACGAAGCCTTACCTCACGCGCGTCGCTTGCGTCGCACGTTACTCCCCTAAGAGAATGTTCTCGAGTTTGTCCTTAGACTGCAGCGCGACTGCGCTGTCGGTCTTTGAAATTATGTACTTTCTCGTCATCGAAATAATTTCTTTTATAAAAAAATTTTTTTTTCATTCAGAATCGTCGTTGGTGAAAATTGAACCATGATTTTTTTTTTTTTTTATTATCAGACACCAAAGATTGAAATGTCCCGATTAATCAAGTGTCGATAATAAATATAAATACAGGAACTTAACGTGAGATTATAGGATATTTTTTTCTATAGTTGTCATTTTCTTTTGGCGAAAATTTGTGCAATGGTTGATCGCCGAATTATCGAATATCGAATATCGAAAATTGAAAGGCTATGTTGATTAATTAAGTTATATCGAGAATAAATTTAAATGGGGAAATTCTCCTTTTTTCTTTCTCTTAATGCGAGATTGTAGGGCATTGCAATAGGTCGTCTGGAACTTTTCAATTTCTAGATACGATTTTTGCACCAAGCGTAACGTGTGTCCGAATGCAGTTGTGTTCAGTGCATCGGAAACTTGCGTCGCGCGCGTGCAAACATACTATGACGTGCTACGAAGAGGTCGAAGGTGAGCGTTGATCTACTTTTTGCAACGTGCTGCGTTCTTGAATTTATCTACAGTCGCGATTCTAACACGAGACATATGCACACGCGCATCATTGCTTTAATTATCAAAGCGACATTCCACCACGCTCCATTTTAATGTTCTCTCTTTTTTATTCAATAACTCCTATCTTATCGCGTATCTTTAAATTGTCCTCGATACTTGATTTCATTCTCCGCAAAAAACGGAAATCGTTCAGAAAGATCGATCGACTTTAATTTTTCAACATACAAATTCTCTCGCGTATTAATCGTTTTTCTCGTCTCAAACTTTCCTCGAGACGACGACGTTCTCGCCGTGGAAACGCGCATTCCCTCGCGAAGAACCACGTTACACTCACAAATAACGTCGACAAAACTCGCGCGTGTGATTCCCCAGAGGACGATAACAATTGTCGCACATCCAGTCTTTAGTGCATAGGTAACAGCGGTTACTAGTGATCAGGGTGATCAGATTGCATCCCCTGACTCTGGCTTCATTCAGCACTATCTCGCCCATTTCTCTGGGCTGCATTCTCGTGCGTCGTCGGCAACTACCGTTCGGCGCGGAATACACATGTTAATCCCCCTTGGTTCGTCGTTAGCACACCTCACCGCTCTCTCCGCACTGCTCCGCACTCATCGAGTTTTACACTGTAATCTACACCGAACGTTTCCGCATTTTCCCTCGATTTTCCGCGCAACTGCCTCCACGCGACTATGCAGGACACGTTAACGCGAGTAGAGGCGCGGGAAGGCATAGAGTTATAGCCAGATATCGTATCGCGCGATAACGCCCCGCCTACCTTGCGGTAGAGAGAGCGAAGACTGGAGGCGAGTGTCGATCCGACCGACGTGATACGCGACCCTTACATACGCGCGCGATCGCTAATCGTTATTAGCGGGATACAACGGTAACGCTAGCACCGCGATGATCCCGATTGAAGCCTGAAATTCTGCGAGATAGATCCGTTCGGGTCGTCTCCTCCAAATTCGCTATTCTTCCTTCGACGGTGCGTAAAAAAAAAAAAGAAATTAACTGTCCGTGTAATCAGCGTTGTTACAGATATATTTTTTGAAGTAACTAGATATAGATACAAATTTGAGGTAATTAATTAGGTATAGGTTAGATAAGATAAATTTGAGGAAATAATTAGGTGTAGATACATTTATTGTGAGAATATGTATGAAAGTATCTTCATGAATTGTATCTAGATATATTTTTATAATACATGCATCTATATTTCATTATTTACCTCAAACTTAAATCTGCATCTGTGTCCACTTACACTTCCCTTTCAATATCTGTATTACTTACTGTAAACTTCAAAAAATGTATCCGTTAGAACTGCTGATGATACAACTGAAATTTAATTACCAGACCTAGTTTTCAGCTTCCACAGCGAAAAATTAGGCACAGGGATAAAAAGAATTAGCTAAATTAATTAAATTTGAATTTTATTATATATTAGCTAAGACAGTTAAGACAATTTTACCTGTGGAAGCTAGTTTTTAGCTGAAAAAAAAATCGCTCCAAATAGTAACGAAAATTGGGTAAGGAAATATTCAATCACCGAATATCTCTTCCGGGGGGAGGGGATGCATTCGCTTAATCGTGATATCGGTTATCAAGCGCTCCACTAAACACCGACTAACAACAACGTTGCATCAATATTATAATTTCTTACTTAACGATGTAACCGTTGCGTGCAACATATGTTATATTATACTTATTTTGTCGAGTGGAAAATTATAATATCGTGATATAATGTTACTGTCAGTTGGTTCACCGGGTCTTGTACGTTTCTACGTCAGATACGTAGGGTACGCTCGGACAGTTATACGCCAGTGCACCCGTCGTTCGAGGCGTGCCGATGAGGAAGGTTTCGTAATAAGCTTCAATCAACGATGGAAAGGCCGTCGCGATTAATCGCGATACCGCGCGATAACACACGCGACGCGTATTCTATATACTTGGTGGCGCGGACGTCCGCGTGTTTTTTGCGCGACATAGTAAATGCTTGGCTCGAGACGCGTTTGCGTGCGCGATCGTAAAATATACACGTCCGCGGGATGTATTTCTAGACATTGTTACCGCGAAAGATTGTAAACGGACATTCCTCGAGTTGCGTGCTGACGTTATTACCTATATTTGAGTCCGTCGTCTAACATTTGCGCGCGATAATAAGACGAGTCAATCGAACGGTCCCGGTATTTTCGCCATCCGACTCACCTTTCCGTCGGTCCGGTCGAGTAACTGGAGGACTCCTCGCCGGATTCGACGCTGTTGAAAGACGCACAGTTCATTTTTCTCTCCTCCCACTGCGAACGGACTTCGTCCTGCACACGCCTCTTCAATTCCTCGACTCTGCGTCTTTCATCCGAGATTACCTGACTCCCTAGAAATAAAAAAAGAGACGGCGGAACGTTTGTGCTTACTTCGTCGCTTGAATCGTCTCAAAGTTGTTGCATGCGATATTCATTAATTTGGATACTATAATGCGTACCTTGTTTAGCTAAGAGAAGCTGCCGATTCCTCTCGATTTCTTTGAGCGACTCGATCGTCTTCCTTCCTAGACTGCCCTGGTTGTTCACGATCGGCGAATCGTTGGTCACTCTGGAGATTCTGTCGAAGTCTTCTCTACTCGGGGATCGTTTCTCCTCGCAATGCTCGGCGGAGTTTTGGGCCAGACAGTCGAGCTCCTCGTTTATCTTTCGCACCCGATTTCGACCCTGTTGTCGTCACAATCGATTGAATAATGATTACAAAACAACATAACCACATGTTCATTCATTATAACTCCGTGAAATAAAGTGAAACGATCAGTGGTAAGGCGGTAATCTTTGTATCGCAAGGAAATAAGGGACAGATGCATTCGAGAGAGTCCCGAGTTATCGTCGAATTGACATTAGATTTCAGTGAATTAACATCTCTTACGGCCGTGTTGCTTTACCGACCTCTTCCAGTCTCTTCAGGTGTCCCAATTTCTGCCTCTCGAGACTCCTGGCGTCTTTGGTTGCCGCATTCTTCGCCTCAGACCGCTGCGACTCCAAGTAGTTCAGTTGGGCTTTTCTCGCTTCGATCTTCCCCGTGAGCTCGCTCAAGTATCTGCGAAAACAGCAGCGAAATGTACAATCCGTGGAGAGAACTCCGCGCACTTGGGACGTATGGAGAGAGCGATCACGCTTACCTCTGCAGTTCTTCTCTCGTTGCCAATTTGCTCGCCTCTTCCTCGAGGTGATGAAACTCCATGTCCTCGAAAGCTTTTCTCTCGCTCTCAAGAGCATCCTGCTGCGCCGCCAATTCGTCGGCAATATCCTGCCGCGTAACTTCGTCCGCGCAACCGGTTAATTGTTCGTCCAGTCGGACGCAGACTTGCTGCGTTCTCTGGACGCGTTGCTTCGCCTCGGATTGCAAATATGAGTGAGTCGCGTTATCCTCCGCCATTTCCCTCTCCAGCTCGTTTATTCGCATTTGCACCTTGATCTTCTCTCCCTCGTCCTGTACAAGCTTTAAGGATTCCGATTCATATTCCGCGGACAGCAGCGCCTTCTCCATCTCGAACTGTCGGGCAACAAGCGGATTTTTCATATCGATTTTTTTTTTTTTAATCTCCGGTGACGTTCCTTGCGAGTCCGTAAAATTGTTAATATTTCGAATCAAATTGAAATATTACAGGGTGTCTACTCTATCTGGGGAAACCCCGGGAATTCCAAGGAAATTTGTTTATGTTTGGAAAAATCAGGGAATTTTTTCGAGTTTGAGTAGACACCCTGTATTAGCTCATGAACGGTCTGAATATAGATAAGAGAGACCATTATTCGTCATCGATTACTTCGAGTATCACGAATACATCTTACTGTAAAAGAACGATATACTTACAATCGGACGTCTTAGCATTCCGTGCCCAGAAGGGGATGAAGAGAAAAAATAAACAATTCGTTTAATATACGACATATATATGTGTGGGTGTAACGTATACAACAACGACGCAATCGTCGATATTCGTTCGTTCAAATTTCAGAATCAGGAAAAGAGAAAACGAGAATGGTACCTCTCTATTAATTTCTTCCTCCTGAGCCTCGATCTCAGCGACGCTCCTCTTCAGCGCATCCATATTGCCGAGAATGTGTAGTTTCTCATTGCGCAAGAATTCGATGTATTTTTTGCTTTCTTCCTCCTCAAACTGCTTCCTCTCCTTATCGGCTTTCGCCTCGTTAGACTTGGCGTTATCCTTTTCGCTGTTGTTTCGCTTAGGAGTCACGCAGATCTCTTTGGATTTCGAGAGCATGGACAGCTGCTCTATCGCCTCGAGCAGATCGTCGTTCGATATGGTCAGTTTATTTTCGATCATTTCGCACGAGTTCGACAATTGACCGTGCTTCTTTGGCATAGAACGATTCTGATCGTTGTTCCGTGTCGTCGGGAACGTGACGTTCTCGTAGACATTCGTGTTCGCACCCTGCATCGCTCGCTGCAGCGGCTCGATTCTCGTTCCGTTCAATCGAATCGTTCCGTACGTTGAGTCGCCGGTGTCGTCGTACTTTTTATCGTTGCTCCCGATGATAATGTTTTCGTAATTGCTGCCGGATGATTGATTAATCGAGTCCGAGAAATTGTAGTTGCTGCTTGCGTCGCGAACGTGCGGGTACTTCGCCGGCTGACTGTCGTTCGACGTGATCGGCGAGCCCACGTCGCGCGAATCGACTTGAGCGAATTGGTCCTTACGGTTGACGGGCGAATCGCCGTTTTGGAAAATGAACTTGGAATTTTGCACGGACACGTTCTCGTAGGACGCCGAGCCGCAGGCGCCGCTCTGCTTGCAAGCGTCGAAGGAGAAGTGCGGCTGGTTCTTCGACGGACTTTTCGGACTGTCGAAGGGAGACTGGTAGCCGAGCCTCTTGTCGCGCGGCAGAGATCCGTTCGTGATTATCCTGCAATATCGTTCACTTTATTTCACCAAGTATCTTATTTTGGTAAAGTAAACGTTTTCAATCGTTTATTTAATCATATAGTCAATGATATACCTTCCTGCGGGAAAAGAAATGTAGTAGACGAAAATCGTTTCGTTTTTGTGGGATTGATCAATTTATGCGAATTCTCCGGGAGGGAAAATCAAGTGTGAAAATATGGAGAAACAAAAAATTGGAGAAAATGCTATAGTTTTAACGTTTCGAGAAGACCCGATTTTTTTTTTCAATTTTTTCGTGCATTTTTTCTGTTTTCTTATTTTCTTTACGAAAAAAGTCAATGCGGTAGGTTTTAATCGGACATAACGCGAATTTCTTTAAACGAATTTTTCTACTCTTGGGACCGAAGAAATCCGTGAAAAAATGAGAAAAAAAAGCGGTTTGTTCTCGGAATTTTAATATGAATAGAAATTACCGATTCGGCTGTCTCGGCTTTTCGACGGTGCTCTGTCTCTCGTACTCGGCGCACATCGCCAGGATCTCCTCCAGTCGCATTTTCTCTTGCCTCTCGACCTCTTGCTCCCTCAACCTCTCTTCCTGCGCTCGCTTCCTCCTGGTCTCCGCCTCCCTGCGTTTGTTCTCCGCGTCGGCCTGTCTTTCCCGCGATTCCTCGAGGGAGCAGCCACTACCGACGCTCGGAGTAGGACTGTTGACCCTCGCGTTTGACCTCTTCTGCTCGCTATACCGCGGATTTCGATTGAACGCTGGACTCGGTGGCTGAATCCTCTTGATGTTCGGGTTCGAGCCGAAGTTGCGAGCCGCGGGCGATCTCGAGAGCCCGGCGTCCTCGTCGATATTGGAGTCACAAATGCTCGGATTAGATCCGTACTTTCCCAGCTGCAGGAACTCCGTGGTCGTCGTCTTCGTGACGATCAGGCTTTGGCTCATGTCGTAGTCGCGCTCGGCGAGGTGCTCGAGCTCGTTCGAGCTCTGGCAGGTCATACTTCGAGACATCAGGTCGCTTCGCGAGGCCACGAGTTTCGGGGCCGCACCGAGGGACGGCGCGTTCCTGCCGTTACCGCCGCCGCACTCACGATAATAAGGACTGCACGTCTTCAGATAGGTCTCTGCTGAGTACATTCTGATCTGATTGTGGTTCTGGCATTGCGAGAGGTTGGTCGCGCTCGATCGTGTTGGCGTGCTGCGCGAATCCGGGCTCCTCTGTCGATGAGCCTCGCTGCTGTGCCGACTCGTCGAGTTCCGCGACGGAGAATTGTCGTAGACGTTGTTGTTATTGGAGACGTCGCAGCCGTTCACCGGCGATCTCGCCAAGGACACCAGACTGGACGATCTCGAGTGGCCGAGGATCTGATCGGCCGGCACGTTCGTCGTGAGCGCGCCGACCGGGAAGACCTTCGGGGAGACGCAGTTCGCTCGGTTCTGCTTCGACAGCATTTCGAATTTCGTCAGCTTGCCGAGGAAGCCGATCTCGTCGTCGGAGCATGAGTTTCTAGGGGATTTCCGTGGCGCGACAGGCGGTTTTCTTTCTAAATGATGCTTCTCCTGCGGCTGACCATCGGTCAGCGAGGAGAAGCTTATCGGTGCCATCGAAATCCTCGAGTGGGGCAGAATGGATCGCAGGTGCTTCGCCTCGGCCGGGTGATTGAAACGCATATAGTTCGAGCGACCTATCGAGAGCATGCAACCTAGAACAGTTAACATCTTAGTAGGGGAAAGAGAAAAACGCTGGCTTCGTCCGATCTAAGTAAATCCGTCTGTTCTTTTCAGCTGAACTGGCTGTTCAAGAAATGTATGCACACTGAAGCGTGAGAATCTCGTACGCTTCAATGTGCATGCAAAGAGCTCTGCTAAGAATACGGGCTATACGACTCTTCACTATTCGTCCAACACGATAACAAAACAGGCAATTTCACTTGACGGCAGATACGTGCCACTTCTTTCGATTCTTATCACGCGTCGCTGATGTCACACACGTTCTTAGTCGAAATATAATTTTTTGTCGGTACAAAGAACCTCCTTTTTAGGCCATCCGTGCACGACCGGCGACGGTAATTCGTATATAGGCCAAGGTCCCTTACCTTGTGCGAGTCTCACTGGCGAATTTATCGGTACACCGTCGACAAACGTGTTTCCATTTACGGGATGAAGAGTGACCACGCCGTTATTGTTCTCGATCGCGCAGTGTACGGGCTCGACGCCGGTGCCGGCCACCGAAATGTCCGCATCTCGGCTGGACCCGAGCGTGATCTTGCCTAGGCGCGAGAGAAAAATGAGAAAAGCTGTGAGAAATGAATTGATTGGTGGAAAAGGGAGAGAGAGAGAGAGAATGAATAAATAATTTCGAGACCGGCGTGCATCAAAGAGATCGCTTTACACCTGTCGGCGAGCAGAGCTGTTCGCTTCTCCGAAACGGTTTTATTATTATTCGAATGTGAGGTGCGAGATGAAAAGAAGCGGAACGCCTCGAGGAAGATCGGAGCAGCGTGACTATCGGAGCCGCGCGTGCCTCGCGGTTGAATGGAAACCAGGCGGGCGAACGGACGAGCGAGCGTATGCATTCCGATCGAAATTCCCGCGGCCTTAGTAACGCACTTCCCGACGTAACTCGTTCTGAGTTACGTTTATTTTGGCAGCGGCTCCCACGAGTATCGGAATATAAATATCGGCGTAATCGAATTCCCTCGCGCCTCGCCGTCCGCGGAATCGTGTCGCGCAAGCAACTCCGAGAGGGTGGAAAAACGACGAGCGGGGGGCGTCCCCTCGGGTTTACAATATTAATTTAGGTCTTCCGAGAAAATGTCAATGACCCGTCCGGTCACAGCGAGGATGACGGCCGGATGTATTCTTCGCCTGATACACGGGACTTCGCACACCGCGCAAATACGGAAGTACGGGAGGGAAGAGCTTGTGTTTCCAGAGATCGTTCTAAATTTATATCTTCAGGAACTAGATATTATACGTCACACAATTTTCCCGTAGCCCTCGCGCATTTTTATACTCCCCAACAGCTCGGAATTTCGCACGGGGTTTCCTCCGTAGCTTTTCAGCACGATTTTCTTTCTTCCCTTTTCATTCTTAACGTGAGTCCGGGAATCCGATTTGGAAACGAGCTCCGCGCGTATCGTCGAGGCGAAGTGCACTTCGGCCGAATCACAGAGACTACGATTTGATTTGCACCTCTGCAATGGTATTCACCGAAATTGCTTAATTTTTAACGCTCCACGAGATTTCCGCGATATCCGAGCGAAAAGCGAACGTGATTTTTCCACTGTGATCTGTGCACGATCGGCTGCAAGATCGATCGACCATTCGTACGGTTCGCACTGCTTTCCGTAAAATAATCCGGAGTCTAGGCGTGCTCTCCGTTCTGCGCGGCGCGGGTAAATCGTGGTGCATTCTACGAAGGACTGCAGTTATATTTAGTTTTAGCGCGGTCGTGTACTCTCTCTTGCATTTTCGGTTTTTTTGGAAATGCGTCGGCCACGACACGTTGGAAATACATAAGTATCCGACACGTATCTAGACGCACATAACTTAAGCGACTTAGGCTCAACCAAATTTTTCCCGTGACACAACGTGCTCTCGAGATGAATCAGAGAGATATTTCGTACTTCTGGGAAAGCGTGTCACGTGCGTAAATATACCCGCTCAATAAAGAATTAATAAACTTGCACTTTCATCGTTGGACATATCTGTCTCTGGATTATTATACGCTACATAGTAAACAATTTTCTGTTAAAAACGGATATTTTTGTGTTACTTTAACAAGGTGAATATGTTAAAAAGTGATCAAGTGAATCTGTTAATTTGACATGTATTTGTGTACTTTTTCACACATTCCCCATGTTAAAGTAACAAAAATTTCAGGATCATTTTTGAATCGTTTTTAACGTAAGATTTTTTACTGTGTAAGAGAAAAAGTGTTGTATTCAAGTAAATATTATATTAATTGGAGTTTTTTTCGTTTTTCTCAATGTGATATATTTAAGTTTATTAAACGTATTAAATAATATTCACTTAATTTCAATAAAATAATTAATACTCCTTAGCAAATATTTCCTTGAATCACTTTTTTCTTTCAGTATACGTGTGAAAGATTGTAACCCTTGGTAATCATAAGACGCTAGTCGAAATCACGTTAATGGCTCCATCGCGTGGACACACGCACGCACATACATAATACTCATCTCAATCGGGTTGAGTCACGCGACAATCGATAGCAAAGAACGCGAGGTCTCCAGGATCGAGTTTTTCTATGCGCGTAAGCGCATTGTCCCGCGGGAGAAAGTTCTCGGTGATTTCAAAACAGATGCGATCATAAATTTCAAGGAGACACGATATTCCGGTGTGTGTGGCAGACGGTGGACGCGAGCGAACAGACAAATGGACAGGTGCGCAAAGTGTGGTAGTTATGTTTATTTTATGAAAGGAAAATGTCTCGACCATACCGATGGATCACTTTTCATCGATGAGATTAACTCTTAGACTGCCGATGGCGAGAATTTTCGTTATTTTGGATCTTACGTTCATTGCCGCGAAAATGCATTTTCTCTTTATGAAATATTTTGTTATATTAGAGCTTGTAAGTGACTTTATCACTGAAGTAAAGTGCAGCTAAAGGATGTGCCGAACACGATTTTTTACTCCGTATGACTGTCAAAAAAATGAGAATTCGTCGAATATTTTCGTCAGAGATATCTCGAGAACTCGAGATATCGAGTTATATTAAAATTTTACAATGAATTAAATATATTTAGATCAGTTTGAATACTTATACATTTGGTGCAAATTAACATCAAATTTCAATTAAAATTTGCCATATTAGCCGCTATTTTAAGTTTATGACAACAAATGTTTTTAATTTTAGTTGAAATTCATCGTCACCCCCTCCCCCTATTTAAATTTTCTTTAATTTTCAAAAACTTTTTGCGTTACTCGGCAATATTAATATTTCAGACGCACTTTCATCCTCTTTAAGTTTTTTCACTTGATCCTTTTCCAAGTACTTATTATTTTATTCTCTCGTAAACGAAATTGAGATTCCACGAAACTGACAACTTTTCAAAGAGATCCACAGAGATAACAAAACCCCATTTTCCCAAGAAATCGCATTGCTCGGTCGTTCAAACAAATGGAAGAACTTTTTGTCGATCCTCCGCTCTCCGTACAAACGCGAGTGTTACACGGATCAAATAGCCGAATCGATTTACCAACTGTATCACGCAATCTCTTCTTCCAATTTCCGCGGCTTGATGATCGTTCAGCTTTGTCTTGGTGTTAAATCCGCGCTCGCTTAAATCCGTTCGCCGTTTTACGAGCCGCGATATTGTTTCGTTGCTCGTTCCTTCGGAACGGAAATGTAGGGTCTGCGGGGTTCTTAAAACGGCCCTGCTCGCTGGGAGAACAGCCTTTACGCCATTTATATACCCGGTACGTTTATATAGCGTGTATACGCGCGCGTGCAAGTCCCTTCGAATATATGACGCGCACATAAAGGCTAAACCGAGACCAAAGAGTCGCGCTCGCTCTCTCTCTCTCTCTCTCTCTCTCTTTCGCTCGCTCTTACTCGCAGATATTACGGTCCCCGTGTTTTCCATCGAGTATATATTTCCACCTGGCTGGACGCGATGCTCTCCTTTGTTTTATAAAGCCCGATTCCGTCGAATTTTCGTCGATACAATTCGGAAGGAATCCGACCGAAGGCACAGTGGCACAAAGTTCACGCGGTCACTTCTAACACGTTCAACAGCATGAAACGTATCGACTAAATTTGAGGAACTCCGAAACATTAATCTTTAGACCGACTCATTGGCTGCAAGACGGACGTGACTGACATGTGACGATATTTCTTCTCACACTCCATTGGACGATAACTCCGACTTAACGTTAAGATACAAACTTGATAACGTCTCGTAAGAATACAGAATGAAAATGTTTTTCGATTGTTCCATTTTCTAAGCTATTATTCAACTGCTGGGCGGTAATAAACTCCCGCTGTTATTTTCCGAATCTCTCAATGACGCTGTAAAGCTTTATCAACGCGATGCTATTTGAGCCTTGGATTAAAACATCGGATGAATCACTGGTGGAATTACGTGGCGCCGAGCTTGTTTGTTACTACCGACTCGGCACAGTTTCGGTCGATTTGCTCGAAAAACGATAGGAAAAATTAATTCAGTTAAAAGTTATCAACTTTGAACTGATTATTATCCAATTCTGATAATAAGTATATATATATATATATATATA